CGAACGTCGGGGTTTCTTTAGGGATTCATCAGGGCTTGAACGTCAGGGTTCCTATAGGGATTCGTCAGGGTGGGAACGTCGAAGGTGCTTTAGGGATGCGTCAGGTTGGAGCGTCGGTTTTGCTTTGAGGATGCGTCAGAGTTGGAACATCTGGATGCTTTAGGGATGCGTCAGGGTTTGAACGTCGTTTTTGCTTTAAGGATGCGTCAGGGTTGGAACGTCTGGGTTACTTTGAAAATGCGTCAGGGTTAGAACGACGGGGTTGCTTTTAGGATGCGTCAGGGTTAGAACGTCGGGGTTGCTTTAAGGATGCGTCAGGGTTAGATCGTCGTGGTTTCTTTCGGAATGCGTCAGGGTGGGAACGTCGTGATTTTTTTAGGATGCGTCAGGGTGGGAACGTCAGGGTTTCTTCGGAGACGCGTCAGGGTAAGCGAATTTTTAAAAACTGAAAATGTTCTTTCGCCGTGTCAGCATGGTTTCAGGGTGGGTCATTCTACCCTTGGAGCAATTAAAGAAGTGACAATATATATACAGGAGTGCGCGAGTAGTGGACGAGTTGGCGTTTTTATTTTATTAGATATAAGTAACGCGTTCAACTCGCTCCCCTGGGATATAGTGATAGCATCGATGGAGGGAAGTGGCTTCCCATCCTTTTTGATTAACATTATTAAAGACTATTTTCGCGACCGGCTCTTGTCCTTTATTGGAAGGCAGAGCACGCTCAATAATGTAAGTGTGATGTGTGGGAACCCCTCATGAGGTTCTGTCCTCGGCCCCACACTTTGGAACATTGCGTACGATCGGGTCCTCCGAGTCCCGCTGCCGGGAGGGTCTTGTGTGGTCTGCTATGCAGATGACACGGCCCTCCTTTCAGCGGGGCGGGACCTGTCTTGCGCAATGTTAGCGGCTAAACAGGACCTAGAGGTCATATTGAATGAGATTGAGGGATTGGGCTTGAAAGTAGCGCTACAGAAAACGGAGGCAATGGCCTTCCCTGCCTCTGCCTTACGCAGATGCAGGATTGCTCCCCCCCCTGTGTTTAGATACAGGGGGGTTTGTATTGCAGTGAAGCCCAGTGTAAAATACCTGGGCATAGTGTTAGATTCAGGTATGTAATTTAGGCCCTACTTCCAGGCCTTAATCCCGAATGTGGAAGGGATCCTTCGGTCTATGGGGAAGATACTTCCGAACCTCCACGGGCCGAAGGAGAAAAAGCGGCGTCTCTACAGCAGCGTGATCCACTCCGTGCTCCTCTATGGTGCTCCGGTGTAGTGGCGCGCTGTTGTGGAGGATCAGAGGATCAGGCGGGCTGTTCGGGCCTTGCAGAGAAAGGTGGCGATTAGGGTGTAATGCGCCTATAGGACGGTTTCCTTTCATGAGGCAATGATGGTCGCATGGATTATTTCCCTCGATCAGCTGGCGCCACGACTGGCGGAGGTGTATGTGACCCTTAAGGAGGCGAAGGGACCTGTCCCTCCAAATATTAGGGCAGCACTTGGCGCTTTTGCCAGGATGGGGGCGATTGCCGCATGGAAGAAGGAGGAGATCGGGTTGATAGAAGTTACAGGAGAGACAGGGGTGCGGAGTAGGGCAGCTATTGCTGACAGGTTGGAGGAGTGGGTTGGGAGGCCGTACTCCATTTGTACGACCTTTCACGCCACTCAGCTGATGACTGGCTATCGCTGCTTTCACGCGTACTTGTATGGAATCAGAAGAACAGACTCCCCGCTGTGCTTTCATTGCGGGGCGGATAGAGACGATGCGGAACACCCTCTGATCGAATGCCCAGCGTGGACGAATGCAAGGGATTCCTTGGTCAGAGAGTTAGAGGGGGTGCAACTTACCCTTCCTGGGATAGTCAGATTGTCCCTGGATACCCCGGGGGCGTGGGTTGCATTTCAGTCCTTTTCAGGACTCGTGATGAAGGCCAAGAAAGACGCGGAGAGAGAGAGAGAGCGAATGTTTCTTAGTAGGAGAAGAGTGTGTGCGAGGTCGCAAAGGAGAGTAGCTCCTAGGCAGCCACACCGGGCGAGGGTTCAGGCAGCTTTAACGGCGCCTGACCTGGTCTAGTGCGTCGCTTCCCCTGAATAAGAGAAGAATAAGCATGCTGATGCATGGCTTGTGTGAACCCTACCAGTGCATCTTGGGATAGATGGTCGGGTATGTACATATATGTAAATATGTAGTATAAGTAGTAGGTAATTAGTTAATAGTTAGTTAATTAGTTTGTTTCTTATTGAATAAGGTATGAGTGATGCGTTAATGAGGATCAGAGTATGGCGAACCGGCCAGGCCAATCGGGATGAAAGAATAGGTGTGTTTGTAATGTGATTAGTATCACGGATCCGCTTCCTTTTGTCCAGCGAGTGAATGTCTTTGCACCAGGTGGGTTTTTAGTCGGTAAGAATCCGACACTTCCTTGGATACTAGGCCCAAGGAGCCTATTAAAGGTTTTCCCCCTGACGAAAAAAAAAAAAAAAAAAAAAAAAAAAGGGTTAGAACGTCAGGGCTGCTTTGGAGATGCGTCAGGGTTGGATCGTCGAAGTTGCTTTAGGGATGCGTCAGGGTTAGAACAGTAAGTTTATTTAAGGATGCGTCAGGGTTGGGATGTCGTGGTTGCTTTATGGATGCGTCAGGTTTAGAATTTCAGGGTTGCTTTCGGGATGCGTCTGGATTAGAACGACATGGTTGCTTTAGGGATGCGTCAGGTTTAGAACGTCGGGGTTGCTTTAGGGATGCGTTAGGGTTCGAACGTCAGGGTTTGTTTGGGATGCGTCAGGGTGGGAAAGTCATGGTTTTTTGGGGATGCGTCAGGCTGGGAACATCGGGGTTGCTTTGGAGACGCGTCAAGGTTTTTATTTCGGGATTGCTTTAGGAATGCGACAGGTTTACAATGTCGGGGTTGCTTTAGAGATGCGTCAGGATTGGAACGACAGGGTTGCTTTAGGGATGCGTCAGGATTTAAACTTCGGGGTTTCTTTAAGGATTTGTCAGTGTTGGAACGTCGGGATTGCTTTGGGGATGAGTCAGGGTGGGAACTTCGGGGTTGCTTTAAGAATGCTTCTGATTTTAAACATCGGGGCTGCTTTGATGATGCGTCAGGGTTAGAACGTCGGGGTTGCTTTAGGGTTGGAACTTCAAAGTATCTTTAGGGATGCGTCAGGGTGGGAACGTCGAAGTTGCTTTGATGATGCGATAGTGTTGGAACGTCGGAGTTGCTTTGGGGATGCGCCTATGTTTGAACGTTGGGATTGCTTTAGGGATGCATCAGTGTTGGTGCGTCAGGTTTTCTTTGGGGATACGTCAAGGGTGGAACGTCAGAGTTGCTTTGGGGATACGTCAGATTGGGAACGTCAAGGTTGCTCTAGGGATGCGTCAGGGTTGCAGCATCTGTGTTGCTTTGAGAAGGCGTCAGGGTTAGAACGTCTGAGTTGCTTTGCAAACCGTCAGGGATCAAAAGTCGGGGTTGCTTTGGGGATACGTCAGGGGTGGAACGTCAGGGTGGCTTTGGGGATACGTCAGAGTTGGAACGTCAAGGTTGCTTTAGGGATGCGTCAGGGCTAGAGCATCGGTGTTGCTTTGAGGAGGCGTCAAATATGGAACGTCAGGGTTGCTTTTGAGATGCATCAGGGTTTGAACGTCAGGGTTGCTTTAGAGATGCGTCAGGGTTGGAAAGTCAGGGTTGCTTTTGAGATACGTCAGGGGTTGAACGTTAGGGTTTCTTTAGAGATACGTCAGAGTTAGAACGTCGAGGTGCCTTTAGGGATCCTTTAAAGTTTGAAAGTCGGGGTTGCTTTAGGGATACGTCTGGGTTTGAACATCGAAGTTGTTTTGAAGATGCGTCTGGTTCGGAACGTTGGGGTTGCTTTAGGGTTAGAACTTCAGAGTTGCTTTAGGAATGCGTTAGAATTGGTACGTCGGAGTTGTTTTAGGTATGCATTTGTGTTGGAAAGTCGGAGTGTCTTTAGGGAGGCGTCTTGATTTGAACGTCGGGATTGCTTTAGGGATGCGTCAGTGTCGAAACGCCGATGTGGCTTTGGGGTTGCGTCAGGGTTGGAACGTGTAGGTTGCTTTAAGGATGCGTCAGGGTTTGAACGTCGGGGTTGATTTAAAGATGCGTTAAGGTTTGAACGTCGGGGTTGCTTTAGGGATGCGTCTTGGTTTGAACGTGTAGGTTACTTCGGTGATGCGTCAGGGTTTAAACGTCGATGTTGCTTTAAAAATGCGTTAGGGTTGAAACGTCTTGGTTGCATTAGGGATGCGTTAGGGTTGGAACGTCGGGGTTGCTATAGAGATGCATTAGGGTTTGAACGTCGTAGTTGCTTTGGGGATGCGTCAGGTTTAGAACGTCGATGTTGCTTTAAGGATGCGTCAGGTTTGGAACGTCAGGTTTGCTTTTAGGATGCTTCAAAGTTGGAAAGTCAGGGTTGGTTTAGAGATGCGTCCGGGTTCGATTTTTGGGATTGCTTTAAGGATTCGTCAGGGTTGGAACGTAGGTGTTGCTTTGAGGATGCGTCAGGGTGAAAACGTCATGGTTGCTTTAGAGATGCGTCAGGGTTAAAACGTCTGGATTACTTTGAGAATGCGTCAGGGTTAGAACGACGGGGTTGCTTTTGGGATGCGTCAGGGTTAAAACGTCGTGGTTGCTTTAAGGATGCGTCAGGGATAGAACGTCGGGATTGCTTTTAGGGCATGCGTCAGGGTTAGAACGCCGGTGTTGCTTTGGGGATGCGTTAGGGTTAGAGCGTTAATTTTTTTTAAGGATAAGTCAGGGTTGGGACGTCGTGGTTGCTTTAAGGATGCGTCAGGTTTAGAATGTCGAGGTTGCTTTCGCGATGCGCCAGTATTGAAACGTCATGTTTGCTTTAGGGATGCATCAGGATTGGAACGTCGGGGTTGCATTAGGTATGCGTCAGGGTTTAAAAGTCAGGGTTGCTTTGAGGATGCGTCAGGATTGGATCGTATGGATTACTTTGAGAATGCGTCAGGGTTGGAACGTCGGGGTTGATTTTGGGATGCGTTACGTTTGGAACATCGAGGTTGCTTTAGGGTTGGAATTTTAAGGTTGGTTTAGTGATTTGTCAGGGTTGGAACGTCGAAAATTCCTTAAGAATGCATCGGGGATGGAGCGTCGGACTTGTTTTAAGGATGCGTCAGGGTAGGAACGTCGAGGTTCGCTTTGGGGATGCGTCAGGGTGGAACGTCGCGATTGCTTTGGAGATGCGTCAGGATTAGAACGTCGGGCTGCCTTTTAAAATTCGTCAGCGTCGAAACGTCAGGGTTGCTTTGAGAATGCGTCAGGGTTTAAACGTCGATGTTGTTTAAGGGATGCGTTAGGGTTAGAACGTCAGGGTTGCTTTAGGAATGCGTCCGGGATTAAACGTTGGGGTTGCTTTAGTGATGCGTCTGGGTTGGAACGTCAGGGTTTCTTAAGGGATGGGTCAGGGTTTAAACGACGATGTTGCTTTAGGGATGCGTCAGGTTTCGAATGTTGGGGTGACTTTAGGGTTGGAACTTTAAAATTGCTTTAGAGATGCGTCAGGGTGGGAACGTCGAAAATGCTTTGAGGTTTCGTTGGTGTGGGATCGTCGGAGTTGCTCTGGGTTATGCGTCTTGGTTTAAACGTCGGGATCGCTTCAGGAATGCGTCAGGGTGGAAACGTCGAGGTGGCTTTGGGGAAGCGTCAGTGTTGAAACGTCGGGGTTGCTTTACAGATGCGTCAGGGTTTGAACGTCGATGTTGCTTTAGAGATGCGTTGGGGTTGGAACGTCGGTGTTGCTTAAGGAATGCGTCTGGGTTGGAACGTCAGGGTTGCTTTAAGGATACGTCAGAATGGGAACGTAAGGGTTGTTTTAGAAATGCGTTAGGGTTAAAACGTCAGGGATGCTTCAGGAATGCGTCAGGGTTGGATCGTCGGGGTTGCTTTTGGGATGCGTCAGGGTTAGAACAGTAAGTTTATTTAAGGATGCGTCAGGGTTTGGATGTCGTAGTTGCTTTTAGGATGCGTCAGGAGCGAAACGTCAGGGTTGCTTTGGGGATACGTCAGCGTTTGAACGTCGGGGTTCCTTTAGGGATGCGTTAAGGTTCGAAAATCAGGATTGCTTTAGGGATGCGTCTAGGTTTAAGCGTCAGGGTTGCTTTGAAGATGCGTCAAGTTGGGAACGTGGGGGTTGCTTTAGGGTTGAAACTTTAAAGAGGCTTTAGGAATGCGACAGGGTGGGAACGTCGGGGTTGCTTTAGGGATGCATTAGTGTTGGAAAGTCGGAGTTGCTTTGGGGAGGCGTCTTGGTTTGAACGTAGGGTATGCTTTAGGGATGCGTCAGGGTTGGAACTTCGAGGTGGCATTGGGGATGCGTCAGGGTTGGAACGTGTGGGTTGCTTTGGGGATGCGTCAGGGTTTGAACGTCTATGTTGCTTTAAGGATGCGTCAGGTTTGGAACGTCAGGGTTGCTTTTAGGATGCGTTAGGGTTGGAAAGTCAGGGTTGGTTTAAAGATGCGTCAAGGTTCGAATTTCGGGATTGCTTTGGGGATTCGTCAGGGTGGGAACGTCGGTGTTGCTTTGAGGATGCGTCAGGGTGGGAACGTCAGGGTCGCTTTAGAGATGCTTCAGGGTTTGAACGTCGAAAGTGCTTTAGGAATTCGTCAGGTTCGGAACGTCGGGGTTGCTCTGGGGATTCGTCAGGGTGGGAACGTCGGTGTTTCTTCCGGGTTGCGTCAGGATTGGAACGTCAGGTTGCTTTAGAGAGTCGTCAGGGTTAGAAAGTCAGGGTTGCTTTAGGAATGCGTCAGGGTTGAAACGTCTGGATAACTTTGA